ATGCTCCAGGACCAGCCCCAGCTGCCTTCATTCTTGCTTCCCACCAGTGGACTCTGCAGACAGGGGAGAAAAGGCGCTCAAGGAGGGCTGACTTCATGTTTGCCAGGAGAGAGGTGTTCATCGCTTGCACGGCCTTGCTTCAGAACCGAGCACTGAAGATCCAAAAGCATCAGGACCTGAACATAATCCCCACATAGACCCAAGTCAGAAGAACCCAAGCAGAATCTGCCCTCCTTCTAAAGCCTCCAAAGAAAGCAGACCAGCTGGACCTGCAGCGGTAATCCCAGGGGGGCATCTAGGAGGTAGAGACAGGAAAGCCACCTCTCCCTTCCTCCAGTGAGGAAAGAACTTGCTAAATTCCTGCCCCTCTGATATCTGCTCTGCTCCCACAACACACCTAGGCAGGCTTCACAAGCCCCTTGTCCAGACCAGGGAAGGAAAGCTTAGCTGAAGTTCACATGCGCTTTGGGCTCCAAAGCCACATTGCTCCTTTACCCCTCTGTACCTGTTATTGCCCATCTCGGAGCAATGGACTGGGAGACATTTCCAATAAAAGGGAGGCAGCAAGGATTTGCAGAACCCAGAGCAGTGGGGTCAGCGTCAGTTCTGGGCAGTGCCTGTACTTCTTGGTCCCCTCCTTGGCTCGTCCTGCTTTCCTGGCAATGTCCAGACATGCCTGCAAGTGGAAGGCACTCGCTCCCCACCACATGCTGCTCATTCACTAAAGCGCCTGGTTCCTCCCTGCTATTCTAATTATGCGCAGCAATAATAAAGATGCTTTCTCCCTTACCAGAAGCCTATTTATGCAACGAGAGAGCATTTCGCCCCCACGATACTGAGTCGTCACTCAAACCCTTGTGGGAATCAAAGTCGCATCTCCTCAAGGATTGACTGAGCCCTGCCTACCCCCCTTCAGCCCTACAGCTTCCACCCACTCCTGAGCACCCATGTTTCTAGAAGCACCGCTTTGCTGCAGAGTGGGCAGGATGCAGATGCCATTCCCCACCACTGTGCTCCCTTGTGGATTACTGATATTCATTTGACACACAGTAGGGGGTTTATTGAGCACCTGCTATAGGCCCTCACCAAGAGCATGGAAATGAAAGACATAGTTTCCTGCCCTTGTCAGGAGAAGAGGCATTAATAGAAAAGCACCAGCTTTTATGGTCCACGACTGATTCACACCCCGACCCCAAGCGTTCACTGGCTGGGTGCTTTGATTCCTTGGCTGGGCAAACTATCCAATTCCTCAAAAGGCTCAACTGCCTCATTGGCAAAATGGGGTAATAATAACACCAAGCTCATGGGGTTGTTGGAGGAGTCAGTGGGGTATACACATATAAAATTGGAACATTGTAAGCACTCGGTGAACACTAGGTGAGATTACCAACAATCAGTTCCGGCAGCTCTAGTACCACGAAGGCAAGACCTCACCAAGATGGATGAGTCTGGGAAGGCTTCCTGAGAAGTGATACCTGAGCTGAGTTTTGAAGGATAAGTAGGAGTTTGCTAGAGAAAGGGAGGACATTCCTGGCAGGGGGGAAGGGGGGTGGCAGGAGGGCTAAGGGAGTTCACAGAACTTTGGGAAACAGGACCACGACCAGTGGCCTCCCACTTCCATCTATAGTTTGGTGGCCATGGGGTAGCCAGACTCCACTAGTCTGTGCCCATTCTTTCGGACCCTCGGTGGAATTTCCTCAGGGTCCTATGACATGCCAGGCACGTGCTAAGAGAGGCTGGACAGCTTGACCACCTCCTCCCTTCACTCAAGCCCACTCATGGCTGTGCCACGCAGGCCTGGCAGCTTTCTCCTGGGTGAAATGGGGGTAACAGGGCCTCTCTTGTAGCCATTCATTCCATAACAAATGTGGGCAGGGCCAAATGATATCATTCAATATTTTCAGATTTCAGCATAAACTGAAATCCTCAGTCCTCAGTAAATGTCAATGTTCAAAATGTTTTTATTGTGATTAACTGCCGGGATGTTAAGAATCCAGGATCGAATCCCACATCGGGCTCCTGGTGCATGGAGCCTGCTTCTCCCTCTGCCTATGTCTCTGCGCCTCTCTCTCTCTCTCCGTGACTATCATAAATAAAAAAAAAAAATAAAAAAAAAACAAATAAAAACAAAAAAAAAAAAAAAAGAATCCCTTCTCTAAACCCCAACACCTCCAGGAGGCACCCCCAACACATGCAACCCCCCAGTCTGCCATTCCTCTCCTTAACCCCGTCCCCACCCTGGAGCAAATTACCAGGTGTCTGTTGCCCACACCTACCCCTGACTGGATCACCACAGGAGCTAGCCCAGCCTGACCACCCCTCACCCCCCTGTTCATCTCATCCTTCTAGGGCTCCCTGTGTTAACTACTGCAGGTCTTCCTGGGGGCAGGATTGAAGGTCATCTCAGCTTTTGCTGTCCAAAGCTCTAAAGATTAAAAGGTAGCCCTTCTGGCCTTATAAATTAACTTAAATGTTCTATTAAGGAAACTTGCACACATATACAAAGGGAATAGTAATGAACCACCATGCGCCCATCACCCAGTTTCCACAGCTACCATATTCTGCCAAAATATTTTCTGGCCACCCTTTTTGGCACATCCCACCACCCAGGGCTCCCACTGCTCACAAGTCCTAACATAGTTTGATCCCTCCAACGTTCATCCTTTTGCAGCAGAAGCATCCTTGAAATAATCCCCTGAAGAACACCCTTTTTATGTTCCTAGTAGAGTAGTAATCACTGGCCACACCCACAGGAGCTACCTAGGATGGCCCCAAAGGGCTGGAGCTCAGGAATTGGACGGTCTGAGTCCAAATCAATACTTCCTAGATGTGTGACCTTGGATAGGTCACTCAACCTATGTTTAGATTTCCTACCTGGGGGAAACATGAATTCTGGTAACAGATCTGTTGTTGAGGCTTTAACAAATGAAATAATGTATGCTCACTGCCCAGCACAGTAAACACTGAGTGAAGGAAATCTTAGAAATAGATGTGTTAGATGATGGGTGAGCAGGCTCTGCTCCTGTGAGATACTATTAATATCTCCCATTTTGGAGATGAAGGCATGGGAACCAAGAGAGACCCAGCAAGTTGCCAGGGACAGCCTGCTCTGTGTCCCAAGTCCATGTGTTGGATATTCTCACAGGCTGCCTTGAACTGCAGATCACTGGAAGTGAAGAAACACTCTAGAATAGACACAGGCGAACAGTGGCAGGTGGCCCAGCACACCCAGCATGTGCTTCCCCATCCTGGATGGGGAGCTCTCCCAGCCTGAGGATAGGCAACCACACAGCGCCTCTGTGTGCATGTGTCTGCAGGCTAAAGGTGCTGAATTCCATTTTGCAAGACAAATGGTGGGGGGGGGGGGGGAGCACATCCCTGATCGCTCTTCTGATTTCACACATCCTATGGCCAACCTTGCATTCAACACAGCCATCCACTATGTATCCCAGCATGAGAAGCAAGAAACTGGTTCACTAACTTAGGCTTAGGAAATCTGATGTCCCTCTCTATCATCCTACATTTTTTTTTCCAATTTAAATTAAAAGCTGGGGCGGGGAGGCGGGGGGGGGGGGGGGGGGGGTAATGAATCAATCCAGTTGCTGAGTGATATCCAGACAAAGCCGCCAGCCCCATGCCGGCGTTTGCCAGCTGGGGAAAGGCAGGGGCGGGGGCAGATTTGGATGCGTGTTAGGGCCCAGCCATTGCTCTGGCCTGGGCTCTCCAAGGCCCCTCCCAAGAGTGAGCCCCGTTAGGATATCCCCCTCACCCCCCCCCCCGCACTCCCCCACTACTGCAGTGCCGAGTGGGGAGGCACCTCCCAGATCTGCAGGAACAATGGGCTGGGGAGGGGGCAGGTGCCTCTCAGAGCGCGGCAGAGGGCGGGGGCCGCGGCCCGAGGCTGCAAGACTGCAAGCACCCCGCCCGTGGTGGCTGCGCTGCCATTGGACTCAGTTTCCCCAGCTTTGAGGTCCCCTGCAGAGCTTTTCCTGGATGAATTTCCCTTACGTCCTAGGCGTTTTAATTTCATCCTCGCCGGGCGGCTTCACCTGCCGCTCGCCGGAAGCCACCCGGCTTCGCTCCCCTCCAGCGGCTGCTCCTGCTGAAAAGCCCCCGAGGTCAGGGACGCGCGGCGCCTCCGTGCGCCCAACTTTCCCCACTTGGGACCCACGATCCCGGCCAGGCCGTCTCCTCCGCCGGCGAAACCATGATTTACAGCCCCGTGCTCCAGACGCTGCTCCTCCTCTTCCCCCGCTCCCGAGTCCTCTCCGGGTCCTTCCCCGGCACCCCCGCCCCATCCGAGCCCCAAGCACGCTCCCCGCAGAAAGCGGCCATGGCACATTTGCGGGAGGCGAGCGTCCGTCCTCCGCACCGGGCGCCGCCGTCCTCTCCCCCACCCCGAGCGACGAGGGGGCCGCGGAGCCCCCGCCGCTCCTCCCTCCCAGGCCCGCAGAATCCCTGGGGATGGGCGGGGCGGCCGCGCGCTGCAGCCCAGCCCGGAGCTGCACCCCCACTTCGCACGCACGCCCGACCCCGGGGGCGAGGGGCCGGCTCCAGACCCTCGGTCTGCCCCAGGCCCCCACCCCCGCCTCGCTGAGTCACGGAAACGAGCCGCGGGGGCTGCCGGCCCTCCCCTCGGCCAGCGCGGGCGCCCGGCTCAGGGCGCGGGGGATGCACCCCGTGGGGAGGGGGGCTCTGCGCCCGGGTCGCAAGGGGCCCCGCAGGCGGCGCCGCCCCGGGCCGGGGGTGGCCGGGGCGCTCGGGCGGGGGCTGCGGTCCCCGCCGCAGTGTCCGCACCCCGGCCGGGAGCGCAGCACGTGACCGAAGGGCCGGAGGCGGCCCCCGGGACCCCCGCTCCGTCCCAATGGGGCAGGTGTCCAGGGGCGCGCGCCCACTTTCCCGCGGCCCGAGGGGGGGGGGCTTGCGGGGCGCGGGGCCGAGTGCGCTCACCCCTGCCCGGCCCGCCCGCCGCAGCCGCAGGACCCGCGACCCGCGCTCACCTCGGGGCCCCGCGTCGCCGCCGCCCGCCTCCTTGTCCGCCATGGTCGCGCAGCCCCCGCCCGCGAGAGGAACCTCCGGCGCAGCCCCCGAGCCCCTGCGGGTCCCCGTCCGCGTCCTCGGCGGCGCTCGGGCCGGGTCTGAGGCTCCGGGCAGCGGGAGCACTGCTGTGACGCGGCCGCCGCCGCAGCCCGGACTCCTCCCCGCGCTCCTCCCGGGCCCGCCCCGCCCTGGCCCCGCCCCCGCCCCCGCCCCGCCCAGGCCTCACGCCCCGCCCATAGCTCCGCCCCGTGCGCACGCCCCGCCCCTGGCCCCGCCCCCAGGCGCACGCCCCGCCGCAGCCCGCCCTGCGGGAAGGCAGGGGAAGGCAGGGGAAGGCCGGCGGGGGCCCCGCTCGGCGTGTGCCCGCCCGCCCGCCCCCCAGCCGCGTCTCCCCGGGTCCGGCCGCTCCCCGGGGCTGGCCCCCGCGCCGGTCGCCGCCGAGGTGGGGCCGGGCCGAGGTGGGGCCGGGCCGGGGCGGGGCGGGGCGGGGCGGGGCTGGGCGGCTCGCCAGGCGGACGCCGGCGCAGTGAAGGCGCGGGGCTGGGCGGGCGGCGGGGCCGGGGTTCAGGTCCCCTCCGCCCCCGCGCGCGTCCGCTCCTGCGGGGACCCCGGGCCGAAGCCCCGAAGCCCCGCAGCCGGCGCTCTCCCGAGGAACCCGGCCCGGCCTCCACGGAGGGTTTCTCTCCCCCGGGGTCCCGGGAGGGCGGGCAAGGGCCACAGCGGGGACGAACCCGGAGCGGCCGGGACTCCGCGGGATCCCACGCTGGCCGCGGAGGCTGCAGTCGCGCTTTTCCATATATGGGTTCCCAACCCGGCCCTCGTGAAAAGTCTGAGAATGACGGCATTAATAATGCAGAGCTTCGGCGGTCAAGGATTCATCCTCCCTGTCCTCTGGCTCCGCGCCACGGGCACCTGTTCGCCCCTGGCCGGGTGGCTTCTGGGGCCCGCTGTGCAAGGAGGCGATGAGGGTGGTGATGAGACCCTAACGACCACCGTTACTGGGCCCTTCCGTTATGCCTGGCCCTCTGCTAAGTGCTTAGGAGCCTTATCTCATTTGCTCCGCATGACTCTCAGAGCTGGGGACTAGTGGTCCCCATTTTGCAGAGAAGGAAACTGAGGTTTAAGGGATTTCAGGGGTGATGCCTAGAACAGAGGTATTAAGTAAGCGACCAAGCTGGGATGACGACCACTACCCCTCACACCCTGAGATGGGCCACAGCTCTCAAAGGGTACAGAATAGAGGCTTCATCCTACAACCAGGTTATGGAGGAGGTGGAACAGGGTGCTGCCGGGAGAGCCCAGAGACCAGCCTCCGCTCAGAGAGTGATGTTAGGGTGATGAGTTAAAAGGATAAACTGGGTCTCTGTCTGCCTGAATTGAAAATCCACAACACGCAGTCTCTGGCTGTGCATGAGACCATGAGCTAATATTTAATCTCTCTGAGCCTCAATATCCTCATCTGTGAAATTGGGTAGGTGAGAACCCACTTCGTAAGAATGAAGAAGGCTAGATGAGCTGATGCACGTAGCATGCACTGCTTGGGGGTCTGGCACATGGTAAGCAGTCCAAAAAGTATTAGATATTTATTTTTTTTATTTTTATTTATTTATGATAGGCACACAGTGAGAGAGAGAGGCAGAGACATAGGCAGAGGGAGAAGCAGGTTCCATGCACCGGGAGCCCGATGTGGGATTCGATCCCTGGTCTCCAGGATCGCACCCTGGGCCAAAGGCAGGCGCTAAACCGCTGCGCCACCCAGGGATCCCCAAAAAGTATTAGATATTATTAAGTCACAGGCACCTTTTTACAGTGGACAATGGCCAGTTGTTCAGGACAGTGGGCAATGACGGACACTCCCAGGGTACAGAACACTGTTTTTCTACAGAGTGCCTGCCCCCCTACCAGGACTACTTGCCTGCTGAGACAATACCCCACTATCTCAGAAGCAGACTCAAGACACGGCCCAGAGGCCAAGAGCACACGGCACCAAATGCAGGCCGGAGAAAGCATCTAGGCGGTCGCCCAAGTGACGAGACTAACCCTGCATCAACGCTCCTAGCTTGCCTTCCCAGTTCTGCTCCTGTATCCCTGCTGAGGGAGGCTGGCCAGGCTGAGGCCACATGGATTGGACAGCCACCAGCATGTGTCCACTGAGCGCCAGGGTCACACAGACTCGTACCTAACCAGTGAGGCCAGAAAGAGTTTTTTATCTACCACAGTTCTGATTAAGTCTGCGTTCCAAACCATGCTGGGCTTCCCGTCATCTACAAGAAACTCCCTAACTCTTCAGCTTAACGTTCAACACCTTTGACAACATGTCTCGTCTGGCATCTCTCCCGAGAAGTCTTTCTTCCACCAGCCTTCCTCGGGCATGGTTACAGTCTCTATCTGTCTCCACGTTGGAGCCCTCTTTGCCTCCCTGGTCTACCTGCCCACCTCCAGGCATCCTTCAGGGCCCCAGTCGGAGGCCCCCACCCTACCTCCCAGTCTCCCATAGTGATCTACACACTCACACGTCTTTATTTTTCTCCTCCTTCTACCCTGCTGCGTGGGCAGCTCAGCACTCAGAAGCCTCCTCTGTCTACCTGCAGACATGCCCACCTTCACATCCAGAGCCTGACCTTCCTCTGGGCCTGCAGACCTCCTGAGAGTCTCCCAGGGCAGCTCCCGGACCCTTCCCATCCTGCCAAAGCCAGCTCATCCTCTGCCGCCCTCCCTCCTGACTGCAGGATCCCTGTAAAGGCAGCATTGCCCACAAGCCACCGAGCCACACACCAGGGCTTTGGCTCTCACTCCTATTTGTGTCTGTCTGAATTTGATCAATCTCCAAGGCAAGCGCTGTCCATCTGCCTGTGGACGTTTCCTCCTCCACCTTCACTTGTCCACATTCCATCGTGTCTCACTGCCTGTGTGTCTACAGGGCCACCTCGCTGGTCTCTCGTCCCTGTCCCAGCTGTCTGTCCATTTACCGTGAATCTGGTCTGCCCTGCCCACCCACCTCGCTGCTCCATCTCCCCTCACCCCTCATGACTTCTTCCAATCCCTCACACCCACCTCTGCCTCTTGTATGCCAGGATTCCAAACGCCTTAAAATGTGTTTGATGTTTGGACCACTCCGCCCTCATTCTGACACCAGCAGCCACCTGGAGAACTCGGAATGAACCTTTCCACTCCAGGAAGCTTTTCCTCCCCCGTCACCCCCATCCTGGCTTGTGTGCCCATCCTTAGTGTCCTCAAGGCACCCTGTCCCTCTCCATCAGGCTCCTGGCCCCCAGCATCAAGACATTGGCCTTGGCAGCCTGTCAGAACCAGCAGGAACCCTGCAGTCCCCACCCTCCTGCCACCTACGGTGGGAAGGCCTGAGGGCCATCTGCCCTCTCTGCTGACACCCAGCTGCAGTGACATGAGGGCACGTGAGGACGATGGGGAATGACATGTGGGCCGTATGCTGCAGGCAGAGAGCAGAAGACAGTTTTGATTTTCAGGGAGCAGGAAGGGCAGTGCACACTCCGCCTGGGGTTTATCCTCAGGGCTTTACCAATTATCACACTAATTAGAAATCGCCCTGGTGAGCACACACTCAGCCAGCCGGGGGCCTAGGTGGGCATCTGCATGCCTGGCCTCACCTACTTCTCATGGCAGTCCTCACTGTTTTATGGCAGAGCAGATGGAAGCACACAAAGGTCGAGACACCTGTGCAGGCTTCCTCTGACCACAAACAGCATGGCCTGTCCCTGTCACTACAGAGGGTAGGGCTCCCACTATCCCTCCTTGATGCCCATAGTCTCCTCACCAATAGCAGCATGAGATCTCATCACTCCTCTGCTACCAGGTCCTATGTGAATTGGCCTCCTGACGCCTCTTGATTCTAGCTCCTTCTCCTCTCCCATCCCTCACGCCCAAACACACATGCCATCCATGAGAACATGCCAAATCTCACCCCACCTCAGGGCCTGTGCTATAGGTAGCGGTCCTGCCTAGGACACAGTCCCCAAGACATGCACAAGGCTCACTCCCTCCCTCACTTTGGGAAATGCCATCCCCCCCACCCCCCACAGATGTTCTAAGACTGCTATCTCATCCCTACTGGAAAGTAAGCTCCGTGAGAGTAGGATCTTGGACTGTGCTGCTCACCTCTGTATCCCCAGGTCTAGAACTGTGCCCGGTGCATAGCAGGTGCCCAATAAATGCTTGACGGTGGTTGGACTGGTTCCATCAGTGAAACAGGAGCACAATAGGCTTCATCCAGCTGGGAGGACCAAGTCCACCACGAGGACATCACACTGATTCCTGGCAGCTCACATGGCCATTTCAGAGCACATCCATCCTCATGGGGGGGGGGGTGTCACTCTGGAGCAAGTCCCCTGCAGCCCCCCTCCAATCTCCCCCTTCACAGTACTCCATGTGGACCCCCTTCAGCACAGTCCGTAGGATCTCTTCTCTACCTTCAGGACCAGAGGGACCCAGGCTGTGGTCTGTGGTGGTGGGCAGCAAGAACGTCCCCACTTCCACTCATACCAACCTCAGTCCATCTCAGCTGGTCATTTGAGTCCCCAAAAGGGGCCCAGCCCAGAGCCAAGTCACCAACTTCCAGTACCCTCGTGCTGGTCACTCCAGCCACATGGGGCTATCCTCACGTCTCCAAAACACCAACACCTCCCTGGAAGCACATTCTCCACTCCTTTTCCCAGTAAATCTTTCTCCTCCTCTAGGTCACAGCTTAGATGTCATTTCTTCCAGGAAACCACTTGGCCCTCCAAGACAGCATGAGGCCCCAACTCTGTCCTCTGGGCCTGACTCCCCATGCCCTGCTATCACACTGCTTTCACAGCTCTAGGTCACTATTAGTATTAACCCATTGTAGAGATGACAAATGGAGCCCCAGAAAGGTGCAGCTGAGAAGCTGCAGAGCTGAGACTGGGACTCAGGTCTTTCCAGTGTCAGGTGGTCCATCTCCCCCTCCAGCTGCCAGCTTCCCACGGTTGGCCATGTCCACACCTGTAGCCCCCAGACCATGGCATAGTGCCTGGAGCAGAGTTAAATCTAAAAAGGAAGAGCCCCTCAGCCTCAGGCCCTCACCTGACTCATTTTCTCTGAGCTCCTCTTCCCCCACCCACAGATACTCCCTAC